TGTGGGATTGGGGGGATGAGAAGAGATAAACCAAAGGACTTATATATACACTAGAGGCCCGTAAAACAAAATTTGGGGGGGAGGGGGAGAGAGAAATATTAATGTAAGGCCTGCACCCTCTGCAATCTGGGACCCCTTGGGTAAACAGCCCAAGTGCCCATCAGTAGATGAATGGATAAAAAGCCCAGGCCTAAACCCATAGTCGGACATCCCTCTCACAATCCGGGACTGCTAGCTCCTAACTGCTCGCCTGCCTGCCTGCCTAATTGCCCCTAACCCCTTCTGTCTGCCAGCCTGATCCCCCCTAACCACTCCCCTGCGAGCCTGATTGACACCTAACTGCTCCCCTGCGGGCCTGATCGCCCCCAACTGCCCTCCCCTACTGGCCTGATCTCACCCCCAACTGCCCTCCCCTACTGGCCTGGTCGCCCCCAACTGCCCTCCCCACTGGCCTGATCACCCTCAACTGCCCCCTTTGTCAGCCTGCTTGCCCCCAACTGCCCTCCCCTGCCGGCCATCTTGTGGCAGCCATCTTGTGGTGGCCATCTTGTGATGATGTCGCATGAGGGCATGATGCCACCTAGGCTTTTATTATATAGGATGTGCAACAGGATAGTGAACACCTGGGGGCGTGTAGGGGCTGGGAGGAGGGGAAGTAAAGGGGGGATGGGAGATAGATATCTGTAATACTATAATAATATATTTTTTTAAAAAAATTTTTTTAAAGCAGATGCTTCCTTTAATCCTTCTGCACACACCCTCCCAAAATTCCTCATGCTACCCGACCACGTCCACATTATGCTTTTATGGTAATCACATCATTACTTCTTTTTTTTCCGAAATGTTTTTACTGATTTTAGAGAGGAGATGGGGGATAGACAGAAACATCAATCAGCTTCCCCATGCACACCCCCTACTGGGAATCAGGCCTGCAACCCAGGCATGTGCGGTAACCTCTTGGTACATGGGACGACCCTCAACCGAGAACCACATGGGCCAGGGTGCACTGTTACTTATCTTAGTTTTCCGGTTTATCTTTTTTTGTTGTTAATCCTCACCTGAGGATATTTTTTCCATTTTCAGAGACTGGAAGGGAGGGAGGGGGAGAGAGAAATATTAATGTAAGACACATTGACTGGTTGCCTCCAGCAGGCAAATCGGGATTGGGGAGCAAACCCACAACCCAAGTATGTACCCTTGACCAGGAATCAAACCCACAACCCTTTGGTATGCAGGCCAACACTCTAACCAGAGTCACACCAGCCAGGGCTTTTCCTGTTTATCTCTTTTCATTTATAGATTTACCCTTCATTCCTTTTCCTCCCTTGATAGCTTTTTTAAAATTATTGATTTTGTCTGAGAGAGAGGGACAGAAGGAAACATTGATGTGAGAAAAATTGATTGGTTGCCTCCCCCATGGTCCTGACCAGGAATCGAACCCAAGACCCTTCCAGGCACAGAATGATGCTCCAACCAACTGAGCCACACTGTCCCAGGCAATTGGTTTTTTTATTATAATTTTATTGATTTCAGAGAGAAAGGAACAGGGAGAGAAACACCAATGATGAAAGAGAATCATTGATCAGCTGCTTCCTGCACACCCCACACTGGGGATCGAGCCCGCAAACCAGGCATGTGCCCTGACTGGGAATCAAACCGGACCTCCTGGTTCATAGGTCGACACTCAACCACTGAGCTGCGCCAGCTGGGCTGCTTTCTTTTTTATAAAACAACTTTATTAAGGTATAATTTACAGGCCATAAAATTAACATGTTTTAAGTGTATAGCTCAAAGATTTTAAGTAAATCAGCCAAGTTGTGCACCATCACCATGATCGTTTTTTATAATATTTCTATCAGCCCAGTAAGATTCCTCCTTCCTAGTTAATTTCCTGTCCCTCTCCCAACCACTAACCTATAGATTTGCCTCTTCTGCATATATATATATATAAAGGGGTAATATGCAAATTAGCCAGGACACCGTAACAGTCACGACTGGCTCAGGAAGAGGCTGCACGTGCAGATGGGTGGGAGGGGACTGTGTGTGCAGTGAGGCAAGCCACGGATGGCGCAGGCCCGGAGACAGGGGGGCCTGCCCAAGCTGCCATGGTGGCATGGGCAGGTCCGGAGCAGAGACAGAAATGGGGGGGGTGGTGG